TGTAGTTTGAGATTAGAATGATAACATGTACTATGTATATGACGTGTGAAGGACACAGTCATTTTAGGATAGGAGCGGAAATTTCCACAAACTAAAAAAATTTGTCATAGAAAATACAAAACTATTGTATGCATTTATGTAATATTAGATAAACGCAAGGATCCTTTTTAAAAAATTATTTTTTTACATGCAATACTGTACTGTTTACATATATTTAGGCAGGCAAGATAGTCTTACATTGAGGACATCTAGAACATAAAAAAAATATCTACTTACATTTTATATGGATAAAAAAGACTTAATAGTGTTACAAATTAAACACATTTTGCTCCTTACTGCTGACTCATTTTCCTGTCCCTTCTTGGTAAATACTCTCGTCAATTCTCTAATCTCTAGGTGTTACTTAGCAATCTTTTCTTTGTTTTCAAGGAAACTCTAAACATTTGTCTTTTTTTTTCAGGCATTAATCCATGTTGACATGAATTTTTATTAAGTACCCGTTGGAAAGGCTGCACCTCTGACTATTCAAACCCTGCCTGCCTGCAGGAGGTGTGTGATGGGACTTACATTTTTACTTTGAACTATTCACATGACGTCAAATCTTGCTTTCCATTATCCCAATCTGCCCTGCTGGAGGCATAGGCTTTAATTTCATATATCCAAATAAGACAAGATTTCTTAAAGTAAATCTTGCGATAAAAAAAAGGTGGTCTATGTATTAAGCATATATATAGAAGACATTTCTTTTTCTTCTTTTTTTTCAGAATACCTTTCAACAATGGGAAAGGTCAAGCGCCTGCGGCAGAAATTTCATGCTGCCTCTTCAAAAGCCAAAGACAAAAAAAAATCTGACAGCCAGACAGTTGAAGATCAAGAAATGATAGTAGAATCGCCTGCAAAACCAGTAAATTTTTCTAAATTTTAAAAAATTATTTATATGTTAAATGTTACATTCTAGTGCTCTTAATTTAACATGTTCAGCATGGTTGTCAACTGTTAAAGCTCTACTTTGTTTCCGAACCAGGGGTCTTAAGAACAATTCTATTGAAGAATGTGATTTTGAACTTAAGAGGTTTTTTTTAGCACAATCTAGTGAGTACCTGACATACTTTGGGGAAATAAAGGCTGTTGAATTGCTGATCTTCAAGAGGTCTGGGAAACCACAAGTTCTTGACCTGTTTGGGAACATAATTTGCATTTACACGCAACTGCAGGGATTTTTCGCATCATGCCATTTGCAAATAGAATTAGAACCTCTCAGTGTCAGGTCCTCACTCAGGTTGATGATTATGATTTAAAATAAAGAAAATATATATGCCATCTGTTATGTTTTGTATCATGTGGTTTGCACTCTGGTCTGTGGTCTTGATGGTCCCAGGTTCAAACCATGCCTGCTGTCATCCCCCACCACTTGCAGGAGGTTTGAGTTGGGATGTAATACTTCATATTTGAAGGAACATCAGAAATATGTAAAACAGAACTTCCCTCCTCTAGAAATTCCCTGTATATTTATAGACTTAACTTGCACACTTCTCTTTTAGAATATTATTTTGTCAATTGGTTTATTTGTGTATTTTTTTTTCTAACTAGGCACCATCTGTGATATCTAACAAGGACAATTTGTTCAAAAATGTTAATATTCCTGCATTGTCATTGCTGGCACAGAAGTTGCCAGATTTTGATGCTCGCAGCTCTATCACGAGTAAAACATTCAGAGGTCAAAATTTAAAGAAGAAAGATAAAATGAAAATTCGACAAGAAGTCTGGTTATCCAGTAAGTATTGTGCTTTATATATAATGGTTATTTGCAACACTGCACTAAGTGTTTTATTGTGGATATTGGATTGCACAGACCAAAACCTTTTTTTAGGACAATTGGTAACTATGAGACTCAGTAATCTGAGACCACTTTGGACAAACAATGGCTGTAGGCTTTTTATCTCCTAGATGCCATCTGATCTCAGCTTTGAATAGATTTTGTTACAAAAGCCCTCACAGACACAGAGGAAAGGAGTTGTTTTCTAAAAGAGATGACTAAAGAGCGGTCACAAAGGTTGCTTAACACACATTTGAGGCCCAAAGAAAAGCCCTTGCCAAAGACAGACCCAGGCAATGAAAATAGAACTAATTTAGTATAGACTCCCAGTAGATAGCATTAATAACAAGTGACACTTATTTCTTTACATAAAGGGGTTTATAGTTTTGGGTAGAGTAGAAACTTGATTTAATCCTTTTGACTTACAACAGTACTTCACCGTCATTCTGAGCAATACCCTCAGTTTGGACCATGTCCATATTTGCTTTTTTTGTTGGTGGGATTTCTTCATCCAGTTTCCTCACTGAGGATTTTCCTTTTCATTCTAATATCTCACATTGTATTTGAATATGATTTTTTCTAAGTATTTTATTTTATAATTCTAAATAAAGAAATGGATACATTACAAGCTGCAAAGAAGAAAGCAAAAGAACGCAAAAAGAAGCAACAGACTCCTATAGTTGGAGATTTAAGTTCTATGCAAGATGCTCTACCGACACTGGAACTCCTTCTCAAGAAAACTACAGGAGAAGCTAGCGACAGGTATTTTGTTACATTGATCTCAGACAGACAACATGCTTCACTACATTCAAGAACATTAAGACCTATCTGTTCTAAACTTTTTTAGATTAGTTTGTCATTTTAGCTTTGGTATTTATGTTTGTAATGTTGTCACTCCTTGAGCCTACATTATGTTTGATAACAGTGCTCTATAAATTATTATTAATAATAAACTGATATTACTAGTTTCATTTATCGGGAGTTTGAATATCAATATTGCCCATTTGGGGAAAACAAAAAAAAAAGGTTTCCTTTCAGATCTAATCAGCTTGAAACCAAGGGTATCGTAAAAAGTAGTAAAGTTCCCCTTTCAGACATTCCGATCTATAGGGCAGATGACGTTAAGGTCATCAGTTTCTTTAGCCAACATTAAACAAGAAGGGTGTCATGTAGCCAGCACAATGACCAACTTAAGTTACTTCTACCAACTTTAGTCAGGTACCCATTAAAGTTGTTTGGATTCAGATGGGGCACTCAAAATCCCAGTTTTCACGAGATTCGAATCCAGGACCCCAGGCTCAGAAGCCAAGCGCTTAACCACTAAGCCACTTCGGGTATCATGTAGCCATCACAATAACCAACCACCATTACTGCTTTACAGAAGTATTTTCATACTGAAATTTAGATAATTGCATTCTAGCCTATACCTCCTGCAGTACATCCTACTTTTTAACTTGGTCATTTATGTTAATCAGAGATTTAAAGTTTGCCAAGTCTTTTCCTGGCTGTGTATTTATATAAAATAGTCCTGAATATGAAAAAAGAAAAGTGCTTTTGTAAATTTTTCCTATTAACATCATCCGTGTTAAAATTTATAACACAACTCTATTTCAATAATTCAGTATACTGTTATTTTAAGTCCAGTTTTTTTTTTATAACCACAAAGCTCATGTTCAGTATGATCTTGCATTTCAGCTGTTGTCTTAAAAATAAAGTACTGTAGCAAAAATATATATATAACACTAAACCATAACTTACAAATGCAAAAACTCAACCTAATAAAATATTCAAAAAGGCACAAAGATAAAAACAACAGGAAGGTTAATCCCAGATACGCTTCCCCCACCCCCACCACATGTCCACTAAGAAGATTGGATCACATAGTGCACTGAGCATACTTTAGTATGAGTTATATGCTATTGAAAAAAAAAAGGTTCCACACAATTTAACCATCATTGACAGAAGAAAACTTTAGAAGAAAAATATAATTAAGCTTGTGGTATTTAAGACCACAATTAACCTATGTGGAATTAATATACAAAGGTACATTTCTTATTCCAGATGTTAGGACTAATTTGTACAAGTGCTCCTTCTTCCATAGTGCTACTAGAGCATGGAATGGGTAGACTGAATCAGCCAGGAAGACCAATGACTTAGCAGAATTTTAGTCTCTTATTAACATGCACGACAACATTAGCACATGGATATACGTGTAGGACATAATATATTCTTTTTTGAAAGAAAGTCTGTAATTTAATTTTTCTTATAAACTTACAAATTTATAAGATAAATTATTCACTGTGTAAACAGAGGTTAGGGTATCTGTGGGGGTTCTTTTCTTTAGGTATAATTATATACAAATCAACACTTATTAATAAAAGCAAAAGCCATGTCAACATTCCCAGCAAGCATGTCTTTCTCTTGACATTAACCCTGCTGTACCCGTCCCATCTTTGACCTGTGCATCAGAAAATATAGTTTTCTTGAATATTGTTGTTCTTAATTCCACAAATAGTGAACTAAAAGACATAAATATTTAATGATTAGGATAACTTGTCAGCCACGTTAATAAAGGCTTTCTTTTTAAACAAATGTTTTTTACATTCTAGTTGACAGCTCACCTTATTTTATTTGTAATTAATGACTATCTTTACCTGCCAGGCTGGAATTCAAAAAGCCAAAGCCTGTCCAAAAAGAAAAAGCGAGACAGAAACAGATGTAAGTTTTTTGGTTTCTTTTCCCCTATTTAATCTGTACTTGTAAAACCATGAATGGTTACTGTACCTGATTGAAAAAGGAATGTTTCCATGAAGAATGTTTTATTTTGCACTTATAGGTAGCTAGTTTATGTTATTTATTAATTCATGTAGCCATGTGAAACAGTGCACTCATCCTTAATCTTCAGAATCAAAGACAAGACATGGATTGCCATTCAATTTATGCATGATGTTTGCTCAGAACTGTTCTGTTAAAACTTGATGTAGGGTTAACTTATCAACTCTTTTAATTAGAGATATTCAGCATCTAACCCTAAGTGTTGCTAATTTTTGCAGGTTAGATGACATAGCACTGTTCCATAAAATAGTCCAACACCCTCTGTTCAAAGAAGACGCTGTTAATACTATAACAGAACACTTAAAACATAAGATCAAAAGTGAGCAAAATGAAGAAGAAAACCTACACCAGGAAGTTGATGGGAAAAGTTCAGAACCCAAGTCCAAGAAAAGGAAGAAATGAAACAAGACATTTGATAGGATTGAATGAAATTAGAGAGTGATATGTCTCTATTGCTATGTAACTAAGTGAATGAAATAAAAGTGTGATTTGTCTGATGCTGTGAATAGTTTTTGGCATTACTTGTTCAGCATGTTGTGGACATAATATTTTTTTGTTTGCAATAATTGTTTTGAGTTTTTATAAAGTTATAAACCTGCAACATAAATAAGAGATATATAAGAATGAAACACAAAGAGACATCTAGTATTTGAATAACAGCACAACTCAAGTATAGTTTCAATAGATTTATCTCAGTTTTAAGCATCCTTTAAAAAAAAAGATTTTCTGGAGGAATGCATTGTATGAAGTACCAACAAAGTTGGTTAATAAGATCATTGAAATGACCACACATAAACCCCACAACCTTTTACATTCAAAGATAATACAAACACATACAGCTAATACTTCATAAACATGTTCAGGTCTTTAGCTAATACCAGGTTGTGATTGTTCAAACTATGACAAATAATTAAATACTGGCCAGGTTTCCATTTCACTAAGTGTATACCCTCCGTGGATTTATACTGTGCTTCAAATAAAAAACGGAAGAACTGGCAGACCATTTCACTGATCACATACTATGTAGCTAATTAAATGGCCAATCAAAACAAAATAAAAAATTAACTAGCATTACAAAAACATTAATTAATTAATCCATCTCAAGACACATTTTCTAAATCAATTTTTCACCTATTTAAATAGACTCTTAACTTATAAACTGTACCTGACCTATTTCTAATAGATTCTACATTAGGAAGGCTTGCTAAAAGTTCAACAGATACTGTTACATTAAAAAATAAAAAAGGTATGCATTGCTTACAATCTTAATTCCATAATGCAATTAAAAGGAACAAAAAAATTCCTTGAATCAAAAAAACATACCCCTGGAAGCCATTATGTAAATTTCTCAACAAAAATGCTGGACTTATATGACAAGTTAATTTCAATACTATTAGTGATTTTCTTTAGAACAATGAGGTAATAACACAAGCCTTTAGTAGTCAATAGCAATAAATATGGTAAACATCAATGTGAATAGCACACATTTTTATGCTTTTATTGAGCCAAGGCAAAACTAGAAACACAAGAAGGCACACATCATCATGTTTGAAAACTAAGTACTTCAATTATCTTTCAGCCAACATGTTTTGTTTTCATTTCATTTACACAATTTGACCAAACGGATGGAGCTACATGCCATATGCTATAGGATCACTTGCATAGCAAATGAGAAAACAATTGAATAAATCGTGTATATGTGAGTGTTTGGGGGGAGAAAGGGTATTGATAATATCATCCGAATTATTATTTTGATTAAGATTTTGTGCACTGGTTAACTAGCACTGACCTCAGCAAGGGATACAAAAAAAATATGCCACATATATTTTCTAATAATGTTTTGTCTTACATTGTTTCGGATGTTCCTTCAGAGTTGAAGATAGTTTACTTCCTAGTCCAAACCTCCCGCAGGACGACGGGGGATGGGAGCGGGCAGGGTTTGAACCCTCGACAAATCCGAACGACAGTTCAGCGCGCAAACCGCACGACCAAACAGAGCTAGTTATTTTATATGACAACAAACTAGAAAATGTTACAGCAACTTTCACATGGTGAACAACGTGATTGAACAACACGGTTGATGAAAATGTTCATTTAATAACAATAATGATATAGCAACCACAGGGAACTGAAACATGAAAAATAAATGGAACATTATAAATAATAAAAAAAACAAAGCCAATGCAATAAAAAGAAATTTCATCACAGCACACATCTGATAACTAAAAAAAAAGAAAATACTAGACTGTTAATTTGAGCAAAATAAACTCAAATAATATCAGCTGACAGGTTATTGGGAATCAACACCAATGTTTACAGTTCTAAAAATTTCACAGATTAGTGTAACTACTTTACTAGAGATTATCAGGTAACCATTGAAAACAGAAATGTTCATAGATTTTAACAAGAATTAAAGTTCGTCATGTTTAGGTCCACTGAATTCTTCATGAGAAATAAGTCCATCTTTGTCTTTGTCCTCGTGGTTAAAAATCTGAGTAATTATCTCTTTATGCTGTTCTGCGTTTTCTTGAACTTTATCTCCAGCTTTAGCAGCTTGCTTCTTTAAATAATCAGACACCTGGAAATTTGTAAGTAATTACATAAAATGAAATAAAAATATTGCTATTAGTATTAGTAACTTGCACTATAAATATTTTTTTCCAAATATATTTTGTGTATATATTTTTTTTCTGGTATTGAATTACACTAAAATATTTCTTCAACAACCTTATAAATATTTTAAATGTGTATTTTTATGCAAAGTTTTAGAAGCAGACGAAATGTATTGTCCTTTCGTATTATAGCTTTATATCTTTCTTATAATTTCTACTCCTGTAAGGTATAATAAAATATCTAGCTAACAATGATGAAATAAAAGAGTAAGTATTTAACATTTTGAACTATTCAAATAATAATAATTTTTTTTTAAACCATTCAAATAATTATAATTTTTTTTTTAAGTTAAAAAAAAAAAGACCTGAATTTAATCAGCAGTAAGAAAATTTAAAGAGTGAATGGTTTATCATTGTCTTAATGCATACATGTTCTAATATCAGTTTTTAAGCATAACTAAAATTGTTTTCTTTAAATATAATTAACTGAATGAATGTAAAAAAAAGTGTACCTCTTCTTGGGAAAGGAATTTATCCCCATCTACGTCAATTTCCTTAAAAACATTTGGTGGTGCTTGTCCATCTTTAAGACTAATGAGCTCAACTTCAAAAGTAAGACTGGCTTTTGGAGGGATCAATTCACCTTTAAAATAAAATAAAAAAATCATTAACATTGATACTAAGGTAGAAAATATTATTTTAACAAGAAAGAAAGTGTAATAGAGTTATAAACAAAGATTTACTGCAGCAGGGGTGAACGACTGTATAGAAAATACAATAAACATGCATATATGTAACCCTGCCGGATTAAGTAAAAAAAAGAGAGCGAAACAAATAGCACAAAATAGGATTAAGTGAACTTAAAACAAATAACACAAAATAGGATTAAGTGAACTTATCTATGCAATGTTGTTCTCTATCGAGGCAGAAAAGAAATGAGCTAAGCTGGTGTAAAAGTGCTCATTTTAAATGAGATGGGGACCAACACTCCCTTCTATAGAAGCATGGCAAGGTATCCGTGGTACACGGGTCAAGAATATGATGGTGCCCTCTCCCCCAATCCTAACACAAAACCTGACATAAGTTGGGGATAAGTAAAGGCGGTTGACCGCTATGTTGGCCACATAACACCTTTGTTAACCATGGGCCACAGAAACAGATGAGCTTTACATCATCTGCCATATATATTGCAAGGTCTGAAAGGGGAACTATACAAATAACAATGTCAGTAATAAATTAGATGTTATAATGTCATGGAACTCAAGGCTTGTATGTATTCTTAAAAGTAATAAATACATTTCAATGACCCTTGTAGGCATACTTTTGTTATGGGCCATTTGCACCATGGTTGCTATGTCATTGTGCCTCAGCCATCTCTCCATTTTCTTGTGTTCAAAAAACTAGGCTATATAAAAAACTAAAGTTGGCCAACAGTTAACAATCCCAACGACCAACCGCCTTTACTTTGCCCAACTAAAGTGTGGCACTCATTAGAGTTGGGTGGACTCAGGGGCGCCCTAAAAATGTTGAAATTCAAAACTTCACCAAGATTCGAACCCAGGTCCCTAGGTTCATAACCCAAGTGCTTAACCACTCAGCCAGCCCACCCCTGTTAGACAAATATGGTAAATGGTATTTATAATTTAAACATTTTTCTTTGCTTGTTGTCTGATATAATGCTTAGCTAAAAGATTCTCAATATATTCTCAATATTTGACACAAACACTTGTTTTTAAAAGGTTCAATTTATCACACTTGTGTTTTCCAAACTAATTTGAGGATATGCAGAGATAGTTTTAAGTTTAAGAAGTGTTTTAATATCTACAAATTTATTTCATACTATACTTGCCTTGAATCTCAAAGCAAGGAGAATGTTTAATAACCAATAAATATAAACCACATACCTGCACCCTGGTCTCCATATCCTTTGCTTGCAGGGATGATTAATTTTCTCTTCTCTCCAACACACATATCCAGAAGGCCTTCATCCCATCCTTTGATGACTTGCCCAGTGCCAAGCTGGAACTCAAATGGCTGGTTTCTTTCTAAACTAAATGACAAAAAGATTCTACTGAATATTGTGCCATATTGATATAAAAAACCTTTTAAAATAAATGTTTTAAAATAAAAGATAAAATTAAAAAACAAAAATTTCCACGCCCAAAAGAACTCTACAATGACAAATTGCTTAAAACATATAAGAGCATTTTTGAAGACAAAATTAATTTTATATTAATATAATTTGCATATAATCGAGCCTATTATAGTATTTACTTTGATATGACAAAACTAGTTGACTCAGTACATTGTTTTTGTTCATGGTCCATTTCTTTATAGGTTCAGTCAGTACCCAACCCACCCACTTGCACTGCTGGTACTAGATTGACTAGATTAACTTGATCTAGAAAGTCTAGAAGATATAGATTGTAGACTAAAAGTTGAGTTAGTAGAGTAACAATGTCAGTGACTGGGTGAGTAGACTCTAACTCAGTTACTCTTGAGTTACACTAAATTAATTTTATATTAATATAATTTGCATATAATCGAGCCTATTATAGTATTTACTTTGATATGACAAAACTAGTTGACTCAGTACATTGTTTTTGTTCATGGTCCATTTCTTTATAGGTTCAGTCAGTACCCAACCCACCCACTTGCACTGCTGGTACTAGATTAACTTGATCTAGAAAGTCTAGAAGATATAAGATTGTAGACTAAAAGTTGAGTTAGTAGAGTAACAATGTCAGTGACTGGGTGAGTAGACTCTTACTCAGTTACTCTTGAGTTACACTAAATTAATTTTATATTAATATAATTTGCATATAATCGAGCCTATTATAGTATTTACTTTGATATGACAAAACTAACATTAACATTTGAATAAAACAGAGCTAGATCCACTACGACTAGAATAGATTTTAGTCTTTAGATCTGCTGAATAACAAACCTTGAGTCGAACTGTTTGCCGGAATCTGTTAGTGTTCCAACGTAATGCATTGAGACCATGTCCAATCGTTTACTTTTTCGCTGGCAATCTTCGGGTGCAGGTTTGAGTATCTCTACAGAAATGTCATCGGCTGGTTTA